TTCTCATTGTATGCTGGGATTGGATGTGGACACTAAAACACATTGACAGAAGAACAAATACTATGAGGCATTGTGTAATAACAATTCTGCTTAAGGGGCTGTGGGAGTACAAATGTAATAAGGATGTCATTAAATTTAAAGGGGACAAACACATGCGATATCATAGCATCTGTGAGACACTAGAATTTACTGCATATTAACTACAGCTGTAACACACAAAGCAGAGCAGTTTTAATGCTGAACAAAAAAATGCAGTCATTCAAAGTCAGTTTTGCACTCGGGTGTGTAAAAGCTTGTAAAAATAGAAGGAGGTATATTCTGGGATCTGAGAATATGCACATGCACTTAATAATGTATAGCCTACTGCAGTGACAACAGCTGAACAATAGACAGAGCTGTGACAGCACATAGGAGGAATGTAAGTTTGTGAAAAATGTAAAAGGGCATTAAAAATAATAATGGCCGTGATCAAAGAAGCACCAGTTAACCTTCTACTTATGATTTCTGTACAGAAAGAAGAAAACTTCCTGCAGAGAGGGAGAAATTAGGATCCTGGAAAGCGACTGCACAGCACAATGTTAAGTGTTAAGAGGATGGGAGCAGGGTATAAACTCAGGCTGACGTGACAGCGGTGAGTGACAGCTGAGGAAAGAGGAGAGAGCTGCCCCCTCCCTTTGAAAGAAGGCGATGTGTACAACTGTCCTGACACACACACATTCACACACAGATGCCAAATGTCACTTGAACAGAATTAGAAATCCCTAGTGGCATCTTGGCCAGGATGCAGCTTTTCCTTGAAGGGGGAGCAACTGTCCTGATACTTGACCTTCTCTCCTCAGCTGAACCACTTCTGACATTTCAATCTTTCATTCACAATTTTGTTATTAGTCTTTTCCTGCTTTTTAGGTTTTCTGTGAGAAAGTTTGAGATAAAACTTTCATGAGACGTTATCAGAGGTTAGCCAGCTAGTCAGTGAATCAAACTCCTCAGATACTGTGTTGTTTACAGATGCAGCTGCTGTCCAACATCTATAGAGAAAACTCCGTGCTTTGAAAAATGTAGGGATGTTACTATGACTTTTTTCCACAACTCAATATATTTTGAAGTAAATCTATGTGTCAGGGACCATGCAGAAAAAAAACTTTAATCTCAAGCAATAAGAGGAGATGCTTTAAACCAGTCAGACGCTAGCTGCAGTACTTCAGATCTTCCTCTACTTCAGATGCAGTCCCTAGCCGATACAAAAACACTGAAAAATACAGTAGATACAGAATAAAATGTGCAGTAAATCGCATATAAGTTAAAAACATATAGTTATCTACACACAGATGATGTCAAAGTGTTATTAACATTTCTAAAACTTTAAAAAATTACACTTAACATGACATGGCACAAAATGTTGAAATATAAAAGCTTATTTTGTTTTTTGCTGGCCTTAAATAAAAAAGACAGAAGTCCTCTTTAAACCTGACCTTTAAGCTCTGAATCTCATTTCCTTTGGAACAGAGCAGAACAAAGCTTTTGAACAGTGGAGGAGCAGTCTGGGAGTTATAAACCAGATGGACATTTGATTAAAAATGAAGCTTTCAAACCTCAACAAGTTTTTTTTAACTAAGTATATAACAATCATAACAGTCCTCCTTATTTCCTATTAATATCTCAGAGCCTAGTTGGTTTTAAGGCTATCTTGCATGTCAAGAGACCAGGATGATATACTGAACAGTAAAATAAATTAGAAAATTTAATTACATTCTTGGATGACACAGCTGTGGATGAGTTTGTAATATGCCTGAAGCTATTTTTAGTGCTCATCTTCTTCACATGCTGCTTAAAATATAAGTTTTGGCTGTTATTTGTATTGTTTATGACAGTCTACTCGAGATATTTCCCGGAGTTTGGGACAGATACAGTAGTTCAGACAACGCACTGAAGCCATGCTTGTTTTAGCCTATTGGCATCAGCTCTTTTATTCAAACTTCAAAATCACTGATTCACCACTGCATTGCAGCTATCAGCTGACAAGTAACGTCCATTCATATTCATGCAGGTGTACAGCACGGCCCATTATACCCTCTTACATAACCGCTGATACGAGCCCCCTTCACCATCCCAGCCTCCTCTATATCTGATATATTTTTGGTATTGTTGATGTAACTAAGATTTAATGTTTTTGTATGTTTATTAACAGGGGGATTGGTTTTCCCAGCAGAGTCCTCATCGCTCATTGCATTCTTTAAGAGCTTTCTCAAAGCGCTGAGCTTTTTTTTTAACCAAATCTAACTGCAGAAACATCTGCTATAAATGGTAAAAGGGTTTGACGAAAGTAGCTCTGACTGATACTTGCCATAGTTGTTTGTGTAGTTTTGCGTGAATGAAGAGATAATCATTAAATTTCCAAATGCTATTTTTTAGTTTCACTTCCAAATCAAGTGGTAAGATAATTTGGATGGTGTTTATGTATCTTGCTCTGACAAACTTTGCTGTTGTGATAGTGTTCAAATGCAAGACCACAGCAATTATTTTAGTGGTGTGAGTACAATGTCATTAAAACCAACAGATATGATGGTCAAAACTATGAAAATAACACAGAAGTTGTAATAATTAGGATAAAATAAAATAAAAGACAATAAGCATAAAAAATGTTTATAATTTAATGTCATTAAATATCTATTTGTTCATTCACATAAATATTTGTATATCTTTTGTTTATGTTTTTCAGCAAGTTACTTGTTCCATGTGTCACTCGAAAATATATGACTGTGTCATCTGCATACATCAGGACTTCACATAGATGAAAGGCTGTTCTTAATGCACCGTTCACATGTATGCCTATGAAAAGTAATGCACCACAATTTATATATAACCAACATAAACATGAGTCAGTAATTTGTAAATAACTCAAGTAATCTGAAAGGCTGTGATCACATGACCAATGCGCCAACAGGAGTAAAAACGGAAGTAGTATACAGAGCGGAACTCTACACATGGAGACAAGTTGGGGTGATGGGTCAACAAATTCAAGAGGCCGGTGATTGTGTCCCATGTGAAACCACGTGAAATTTGAGGATTTTTTTTAAGGTAGGTCGTCGCCATGTTTCTTTTCCTAAACCTAACCAACATAACTTTATGTTAAGTACATGATGTGATGACGTCATTTTGTGGGCTACTGTATGTGCATTTTCAAAAGATATCCCACACATTCCCACTCTGACTTCATCACATATCGATATTTGGTCATGGACTTTCCACATCAAGATACAATGCACAAGGTACCCTGAGTGCATTGGTTGTTGACATTCTGGAACACAAGTTCTGCCTGTTACATGCTTAGCCTGCTTTCAAAATACACTTACGTTTTCACAGGAAATATTCTGTTTGCATGCAGTCTCTCTCAAAATAAGTGCACTACGTTGGTACAACACCGCAAATTTACATTGTTTTTCCTTCAACAACAAAAGCACCCTGTTACAATTAGCCAATACACACATGTTGTTGGGTTAAGGCAACATACCATCAACCCTCCTGCCTGCCCTACACGGACTTCCACCGCCTAAACTGTTGTTGTTGTGCTACTGCATTCTCCCCTGATGCCACGGACGCTGTTAAACAATAATGGCGACCGGCCATCATGTCGACGTGAAAGGATGACTTTTTTTATCGGTGTCCAATACCGGAAGTCAATGACCAAGCGCCAGATTTCGATGACTTTGGAGTGAGACCAGGTCGAGATATCATATGAACCACTGTATGAGGATATGCTCACATGGAAGATGTACACACTGAATACCAGATGCCCAAAAATAGAGCCTTGTGGCCTTCCTGTTTCTGACTCCTGCTGATGACAATTCATTATAAGTACAAACACAAAGGGTGCCGTTTTTCAGTTAAGATTTCATCCACATAGAAGAAATAATAGACTATTTCAGATTACTGGCTGAATTACTATTAGAGACCTTACAAGGGTCAGGAAACACTGCTGTACCCAAATTAACCTTCAGTTTGGTTTCTCCAAACCTACCATGACATAGTTGGCTCTGTCACAAAGCTGCAACTGCAAAGGGTTTCACAAACAACAGCTGGTACTTTTCATAAGAACAGAGACAATGCTGTTCATGAGACTAGAACAACTAAAGAGTCAAAGGTCAGGCCTATTGGAGACTTGCTTAATTGTGTTCCCCTTCCAATGTTGCTGATATTATTATATTATGGGTTATGAGCATTAAGAGATCCCTCAGGGAGGCAGCATGACATTATACCCAGGTAATTCAAGATAGGGGTTTAATTGTTGTAATAAAAACAATTTGATGCACAATTTATAAGTGGGGGGTATTATTTATATAATTATTTAATTGTACCAAATGATGCCAATAACTAGCACAATCCTAAGAGCAGTGGAAACCTGTGGCGCCAGATGTCTTTTACAGTGAGTGCAAAGATAATATTTGTACATGCATAGAAGATCCCCGTTTATGCCAAATGCGTACAGCTTTTGTTCTCCACACTAACTGTCTCTGCATATGCCTCTCAGCCCCTTCCATTTTTTCCTCTCCATCTCTTTTTCTGGTGTCTCTCACCCAGTATCTCATCAGCTGTTGGAAGGTGACCAATACGTGAAATGATTGTGTAGACCTCCAGCCAAAAATAAACTAAATCTATTCCTTTTTTTTTTTTTTTTTTTTTCACATAACAATGCATCTTAGTAATGTTCATTTTGTTGACTTACACTGGATCAAAGATGATGAATAAGGTGTGTGGAGATGTATGGGCTTTTAGGGAACACATTACAATCGCATTTAATGCTCTTACTGCATCACAACTAACAAACAGAATGAAAGTGCTGATTCAGTCTCATGCTAATCTAAAATGGGGAGCTCATTATGTTGTTGTTTGAATATGTAATCATGTTAATCTGTTTGCATTTGTGTTTGGACAGGTCTCTCTCACTCTTCGAGTATATGTGTGTGTGTGTGTGTGTGTGTGTGTGTGTTAATCCTACTCACTCGACTGTGTCCTCCCAGCTACACCACTGTCTCTGGTCCAGCTCTTGCATGTCCAGTCTGAATTTGGCCAAGCAAAACTCCTCAATGGCAAATTCATAGTGGGGTCCACACCCCAGTGCTGACACACACTGAGACGCTATTGAGAGACGGGGGGAGGAAAGAGAGATGTACATGAGTGGCGAGAAAGATTAAAGAGCGAGCAGAAAACACAAAAGCAGGTACTTTCTGATTGTTTGAAAAATAAAAACGAGTGGGATTTGATTAACTAAGTACCTGCACAATTTATTTGTTCCATTATCATTTTGTGTAAGTGTGTGTGTGTGTGTGTGTGTGTGTGTGTGTGTGTGTGTGTGTGCATACAGCTGTCTGCGGCCTGCTTAAAGGCTACAGCAGGCTGAAAGCTCAAAAAAGCACTTAGGATTGAAAGCATGACCTTAAATGTTTTTTTTTTTTCTTTTTGGGTCACTGCAAACTAAGATGTTTCCCCATCTGTGGGACATGACACTGAAACACCATCTGCTATCAGTGTTAGGTATATCATTGCCTTACAAGACACACACACACACACACACACACACACACACACACACACACACACAGAACACTGATGACATACGTACAGTGAATTTATGCTGGATATTTTATACTTGTGTCAGCGAGCAGTAGAGTGATTTGGATGTTAAAGAAAAATTAAAATTATTTCGAGGACTGCATGTGCATGTTTAAAATACAAGTTCAAAAGATCTACATAATGCAACAAGAGAATAAGGTCAAATGTGACTTTACTGTAATGTCTCGTGGTGGTAAAACCATGGTCATAAAGTGATACCAACGTTCAACCATGCTTTGGTTAAATACATTCCTATATTAGCCTAATATCTGATGTTTTTTTTTTTTATTTAAAAAAAAAAAAGAAGTTATATCAGATAATGCCTTCTAAGCCCCTTAAAGGCTTAGAAGTTTGACATTTTGGGAAATACACTTCTGGCTATCGTCCTGTGAGTTAGATAAGAGGATCACTTTCATGTGTTTGACAAAAACATGAAGCTAGAACTTCAGCATAAAGACTCAGCTAAGACTTATAAAGCCAGGTCAGCTGTTTCTCACCTATTTCCAGATTTTACTCTGAGCTAAAATAATCACTTCCTGGCTTTAGACGCATATCTAGAGTGAAGATACAAGGGTGGAATTGATCTTTTCGTCTAATATTTGGAAAGACAGCAAATCTATTTCCAAAATGTCAAACTATTCCTTTAATATAATCCAATCAGTCCTTGTCAGCTGGTTTTAAAACCACAGCAAACTGTTCAACGTCAGGAAACATTCTGTCTTTTAATGCAATTACATATCCCTTTCAGTTTGTTCTAAACAACACAAATTACGCATGATAAAATCTGCTTTTGTGATATATGTAATTTTTTTTCTGGAATTTGACCAGATTCAGTTTTTGGCTAATACAGCATTTTAAAATCAAGGTGCTTCATCACAAAATCCTGTAAATCTAGGATTATCATGAGGCAGTGCTGAATAAAAATCACAACCGTGAACAGCTTCTCTTATTTGACCAGTGAGAAACTGTCTTTACTTTTACACATGCCTTCATAGAAATAATCTTGCAGGAAGAATTTGAGTAATGTGCAATGATTATTCAGAATTCAAATACAACCATATGTTTAAAATAAAAAGACTTAATCGCTAAATTTGTTGGTTTCTAATTATACTTTGCTCTAATACATTAATTGTGACATTACAATGTATAAAACAAAAGCATAACATCTTCTTTTGCTAAAAGTAAATAAATATTGAAATATTTTAACACATTCCTTCACCTTCTTCATCATCCTTCTTTTATGACTTCTTTCTAATTCTCCTCTTCCTGTTTCCCTGCAGCATCAACTCACTCTCAGTGCCTCCCTTCACTTCTATATTGTTTTTCACCCTTATTCCCACAACACCCCTCTCATCCTCCCTCGCTCATGTGCTTTGTCTCAGTGAATTATGCATAAATCTATATACATCTCTATCCATCCTTCCTTTAGCAGCTTCCTTTTTGTTCACTCACAACTTCTCTGCTTCGCTCTCCTCAGCCCCCTGAGAATTTTGCAAAGAATTGGACGCATCAGTTCGGCTCTTTGAGTATTTCTCACTCATTCCAAATCAATATGTCAACAGCATCACACGTGCAAATTTGTTTATGTGTGTATGTTATGGTGCAGAGCAGAAGGATGATGAAAGGGAGAATCAAGCCTGTGTCATTTTGAATATTGAAAAAAAATGTACTGAATGGAGATTAAAAAACATGTGAACAAATAATTTGTTTACACTCCTACAAAGAATCTGACTCATGCTGTGAGGAGAGGGGATGAAAAGGTTTATCCACACGTCTACACAACTCCAATCAAGTACTGCGATCAAAGATTAAGATCAAGTGTGTGACATAAAAGAAAAGGAAGAGAGTTGCATCTTATTCTGCAGATCAGATTTTGTCATGCCAGCAATATCTTTATTAGATGTTTAACTTAAATGACAAAAAGGGTTTTTAGTAACAAATTTCTACAGTCTGTACTAGTCCTCTGATCTGGGGTTTCTTATCATCATGACTTAAAAACCGCTGTAAAGGTGTCACTGCTTTCTGATCTGCCATTGTTATGGTTAAGCTTCGGTTATAGGTTTAGGCACAACTACTTGACTGATGAGGGAAAGTTCATGGTCAGGGTTAGAAGAGACCATTGTTGACTATTGGCAGGAGACAGGATGTGAACAGCAGTCTGTGACAGGGTCCTGCAGTGGGTCGGGTACCAGTAAAAAGCTGTGTAACAGGTAAAAAAAAAAAAAAAAAAAATTCACGGATACAGGCAGTAGTAAAAATGAACTACATGGGCGGGCAGCAAGTGAGAACAAAAACATCAAAGATGTGCAGTATATGTGTATTATTTTGACGTCTAACTCACCATTACCAAGGCGCAACACCTTTAATTTTGAAAGTCAATGACACAAGTCAAACCTTTGACCCCGTCGTCACATTCGTCACCAATGTGAAGGACTCCAGTGATGAAGCTTTGCAGCCGGAGGGCAAGCTGGCAGCCTACATTGAGTTCAAGACACCCAAGGAGGATCCTTTTGAGTTTTTATGGTGGTGGCAAGAGATTAAATATTTCCTGACCTGGCAGTGATTGCACAGAATGTTTTTGCCATCTTGGCATCAAGTGCAGCCAGTGAAAGAGAGTTTTCCTCAGCTGGATTTGTAATTCAAGAATGGAGAACCCAGCTTAAAGTGAGTGACTGTAGCTTGGGTGTGTTTAATGGGTGCGGGTCGGGTTGTAGGGCTTTTGTGGGTGGGTGTGGCTTTGACTTAGACATGATGGTTAATGGGTTGGTTCCGGTACTGAGCTTTATGGGTATGGGCGGGTACAGGTTTTCAAAAATAGGACTCTGGTCTAGGATTTCCGAGCTGGTCACTTCGTACACCAAACCAACTAACCCAACATCCTCCCTACTAGGTTTTGTAATAGTTTGTAATAGTTAACTTTGTCCCGCTACTTCTTCCTTTGCTTCTCAGTAAAAAACAGCTTTCACATTTGGTCACTATTCAGTAAAATATAAACAACCCAACAAAAATGACTTATTTTTACAGTGTAGTGGCTACACAATGGTTACAGTTAGGGAGCGATTGTGGTTACTGCAAATAAACCATGGTACAGTTAGGGTTATGAAACTAAAATGTCTGATTAGGGTTAAAGGTAGATTGTGCTTACATGTTTTTTAAAAAGTGAATGATAACGTGACAGTCTACACTGAAACACAAACTGTCTCCCACATTCAAATTAGACTCCTTTATTTTCCACTTAGCTACATAAACAACACACTACTTCCCATGTTGACTGTCAGTGTTGGCATTGGCTGCATATTGTGTTGCAAATCTGTCCAATATAAAGGTACTTGCTACAGATACTTGGCTGCATAATCATAAATTAAATGAAGTTTTTGAATGAACAACCAGTATCGTTTTTCTGGTGTGGACAGTGTTCTCTCCAAATATCCTTGTCTCAACCTGCACAACAGTTGATACCATGAACACATACAGTACGATCTTCTTTATTCAAACAAACTGAGGCAAAAAATGTGTTGAAAATTTGATGCAAAGTGTGTTTTTGATCTACATCTGTTAAAATTCAGCTAAAGACTGTTGCACTAATTTCAATGCAGTATGCCAGTGTCACCAAACTCATACATATATTGCTTGCTGTAGCAGCATATCGCCCACACAAGAGAGACGGACTGTTTGCAAAATGTTTTAATTTCTTTCTCTAAATTCATACCAAGATGTTACAAAATAAAGGTACATTTAAACATTATACAAGTACAAGACATAATACATACAGTAACAACTTACTTCCATGTTATCTGTTATCCGAGTATCCTGATAAGTAAATTATAATCTGGACCCCAACCCTGCTGGTAAGTCAGTCCTTCCTGACAACACAAGACATCGCATCTTGAGTAAACCATAGTATCAAAGTATTAATTTTGAATGCAAACTTCTAAAAAGACTAAATTAGACCTTGCTACATGTTTGGTGCCGCCTAACCACATAAATGTTTTTGTGTTAAAATGTCTTAAAATAAAGTTGTAGTGTACATGTGCAGAAGAGCAATCATTTCAATGGAAAAAGATAATACAGTAAATAGTAAAAAATAACCCAAATCCCTGGCGGCTGCAGGGCCCTCAGGGTGGCTTAAGGCCAATTTCCACCAGATGCGTGTTGGTTGCGTCTGCGCTCCGGCACAGCAGCAGAGCCGATAGGATTCCATTCTAGTCAATGTGTTTGTTTCCACCAACTGCGGCTGAGCTGCGTTCCGGCTCCATCTCAGCTCTGGCACTCCGGAGCCCTCCGCAACAGATACGCAGGACTTCTATTTTTGCCGGACGCCGGAGCACAAAGCAGCAATTCAGCACAGAGCAGATCGTGCGGGGCAGGAACTCGTGCACAGAAACACAATAAAACATCCGGTTAATTTTCAAAATAAAATACATAGTGTTCACAGCGGATCATATTTCCCTGCACTACACCTTAAAAACTACATAATGGGCATAGGCAGGCCTGAAGTCAACAGGTCAGAGGTTTTCAGACGTCAT